TCTTTGAAAAGTTTGTAAGTTCCTTTGGTTTGTATATTTGCATCTTTGTGTATCATGATAAATTTTAAATTTGGTCTTTTCATGTTTTCCCTTGTTTCTTGGAAGTTCTGTTCATGGTCTACTAATATCTTTTCTCCATGGTCAACTTTATTTTTATAGAGTATATATTTGTGTCAATTGCCTGAAACTGTTGCAAGTGGTCTAGTCTTTTGGTGATACTTTCTATTGAATTTATAATTTGGTTTATTGATTTCTCTATTTTCAGGATTTCTGCTTGATTTTTTTTTCAGAATTTCTTTCTATGGAAGCGTTCTTTTACTTCTTGTTCTTTTTTTCTTTCTTTCTTTCTGATTTTTACTCGTTACATTGTGTTTTACCTCGCAGATCAGGTCACCTATGTACATTTTAAACTCATTCTCTGACATTACTTCCCCTGAGGTTTCAATGGCTTCTGTTATTGAATTACCTTGGTGTATTTCTGGCAATTTGTTCCCTTGCTTTTCCGTGTTGTTTATGTGTCTACTCATCTAACATGGCTCTGAAGCAGTAGAGTTTCTCCTCTGTAGACTTATAATATCCCGGAATGTTTCTAGTTACTCACCTTTTAGGAGAAGACAAATTACTACAACAATCAATGCAAAGAATATTCAGACTTAAACAAATAGTTTCTCCTGTGATAGCTGAAGTGTTGTGACAGTAAATAGAAATTGTATGCTCAGTAATTTTCTACATTAAAAACAATACGTTTGCAAAAGGGTTTAGAATTTGGTGGATAGGGAGAGAACCAAAGAGATGAAGGATGTGATGATTACAAGGGAGAAGGAGAAAATATAGAAGTAAAAATTCAATGGATGATTGAAAGAGAACAATAAGTATTGGCTGTTAGCAAAAGAAAAGATATTAAGAGAATCAAGGAAAATTGATAAGATATATATATATATATATATCATACTAAAAATTTTAAAAAATTAGGGCTGGGGATGTGGCTCAAGCGGTAGCATGCTCTCTTGGCATGCATGCAGCCTGGGTTCGATCCTCAGCACCACATACAAACAATGATGTTGTGTCCTCTGAAAAAACTAAAAAGTAAATATTAAAATTCTCTCTCTCTCTCTCTCTCTCTCTCTCTCTCTCTCCCTCTCCCCCTCCCTCCCTCCCTCCCTCTCTCAAAAAAATTTTAAAAATTAGAAATAAAAAGTAATAAAATAAAAATATAAAACAAAACTAATATATACTAACCAAACATGCAAGTCTTTGAAAAAAAAAAAAACTGATCAATTAAAAATAACTCACATAAAAAATGCTAGATACCTTGGGCTGGGGCTGTAGCTCAGCATTAGAGTGCTTTCCTTGCATATGTGGGGCACTGGGTTCGATCTTCAGCACCACATAAAAATAAACAAAATAAAGGCATGCTGTTCATCTACAAATACAAAAAAATTAAAGAAATCATAGATATCTTACAAAAGTAAATATATATATATATATATATATATATATATATATATATATATATATATATATAAATTTTAAAAATGCTAGATATGAGAATAGAATACATAAATATGTATGAATTCCCATGGACTATTAGGGTCCAAAATAGAAACATACACAGACACACAGATCTTGATGAAAAGTATAAGAACTATTTCCATTGGAACTAAAAGATTATCAGCTTCCTTTCTCAGCAATTTTTGGTGAGGTGGTCTGGCATGATGCTTATTCAACACAAAGCAAGGGATTGTTAGAGTGAGAGAGGTTATCCCATAGATAGAACTCCTGGAGGCAGGGTTTAGGCTTAGTTATGCTCAAGGTTCTTATTGAATGCCAGTTGGTCTGGAGAATTTAAATCAATGCAACTTTAGGGCAGTATATATACACAGTGGAATATTATTCACCCATTAAAAAGTTTCACATTATGACATTTTCTGCTGAATGTATGGAACTGTCTAAATCATGTTAAGTGAAATAAGCCAGTCCCCCAAAATCAAAGGCCAAATGTTATTGTGCTAACACACAATACAAAGATAGGGAGAAAAGAATAGGAGTTCATTGGTTTAGACAAAGGGGAATAAAGGGAAGGGTGGATGAGAATAGAGAAGACAATAGAATGAATGAGATATAACTTCCCTGTTCATATATGAATATATGATCAGTTAAATTCCACATCATGTACAACCACTGGAATGGTATTCTAATTAGAATAAGTTATAATCCTTGTGTGTATAATGTCAGAATATAATCTATCATGTATAACTAAAAAGAAAAAATGATTAAAAAATATAGTCTATTTTAGTTCTTTAAAACATATTTTCAAACAGATCTCCTATATTCTTTCTTCTATTTTCACACTTTCATCTAAATTATGTCATGAATTTATGACCTGCAATATTGAAAACAATTTTTTGACAAGTAAATATCCCAAACTCTTGGTATCCTTGATTTCCACTGGGGATGTTTTGGAGTCACAAGATATTGCTGAAGAAGAGAACCATACTTTGTATACTGTAGGGATTCTGGTTCTGGAAGTGTACAAGGTAATGTTCCTCTGGCGAGCGAATTCCCAGGGGGTTACAGGAACACTGTTTTCCACACTTGGAATATTCTGCAGTTTCTTCTTGGAACTATTAAGATAACTAATACAAATGCAGTGCCTAGCTGCTGCTATGGTAATGTTCTTCATGAGGAAGCTCTGTGCCAGAGTCTTATCAGCCTTGAACTTAATCTCAGACCCTCAGCTACTGGGTATAAAGGAACTCTTTTTAGACAACCACATATTTTACTGCTCCTAAACCTGTCCACATAATGGTAACTTTATACAATGGACTTTCTTGAGAGCTTCTCAAAGCTCCTAACATTGCACATTGCAACTTAGCAACATTATGCAGCTTATTCCTCAGTTACATACTAAGTCTGTAACTTGCCTAGTAATACAATGAACAATATGTACTAATGATGCCAATGACCTAAAGTAACCTACTGATATAAATAAAGCTAGCTGGCTCACGTGAACACCTCTTGGTTTGACTCTGCACCTTGCTACTGTCTCCTTTTCCTTTCCTTGCATTTTATATTCTATTCAGATACCACCATTCATAAGTATAAACTGTAAATAAAATCCACATCCATGCTCCTAGTAACTTAGTAAGTCCTAAAAGAGCAGAAAGATTAGAAGATCTCAATTCTCTGCAATGCTAAAGAACATCTATTGGAACACTCTATTAGAGGTTACTGAGTATGGATATGGGAGACATACAATTATAAAATTACATAAAACTAGTGTATTTTTTTCAATTTGTGTAATTGGGTTCCTCATATCACAGAAGTGATGATATGTCCTTCTGTGTTAATTGGCATTTTATATTAGTCTGCTCTATTATAGCTGATTTAACTTTTTCTGATTTAGATATTCTCTGCCAGACTTTTCCCTATAACAGTCGTTGGTTTGTCTTGATAAATAAGAATCTTGGCATGATCTCCCTAAATTATCTTTAAAAAACCCTATTTGATACAGAAACTGTGTTTTTTCTTCATATTTTTGTTTTCCCTTGCTTTGAAGAATGGAGGTTGTCACTTTTGTTTACCATAGGTGTTGGTTCTGAAGCAGACCACAGTCCTACAGGATTTTATTTTATTGTATCTTCTGTTCACACATGTACACCTCATAAGCTCCTTGCATGTTCAGTAAGAGAAACAACACTCATATTTTTCTAAGTGTACAAAATTATAAACTATAGCTCATAACAACTCATGAATAAGGGAGAAATCAAAGAATATGCAAGATTCATAAATTGTAGTGCCTACTTTATTGTCATTTATTATCCTTAAATGTGTCTATCTAAATAGTGTCTTTAAAAGAAAAAAAAGTCACAACCTGAAAATGATTACAAATTTTCAAAAAATATATCTATTATTTTTACATGAAAATTTGTCGTTTTACTATATAGTATATTGATATTTAATGTATGTGAACATAAAATAAAAATAATTTCAGTTTAACTGTAATGCTCAGTAAATTCTTTTAAAATTCACTGTTTCCTATGAATTAATGTTCCTTTTCTTCTGAATTACAGATCAGAAAACCTTGGGTGGGCTGGGGATGTGGATCAAGTGGTAACATGCTCGCCTGGCATGCGCGGGGCGCTGGGTTCAATCCTCAGCACCTCTTAAAAATAAAATAAAGATGTGTATTCACCGAAAAATGAAAAATAAATATTAAAAAATTCTCTCTTCTGTATCTCTCTCTTTAAAAAAAAAGAAAAAGAAAACCTTGGGTATTATTCAAGGTTTACAATTTACTGAAAATGTTTTATGAAGAAATACAGAAACCATTATTGTTGTCACATCATTTTGGGTTTTACAGAATAAAATGTGAAAATCTCTTTGAATGATATGTATACATTTGAATGATCTAAGTGGATTCTTCTTGTTGTTTGCTATTTTAATGATTTACATAAATCCAATTAAATATTTGAACTCAAGTATCAATGAATGTTTCCTTAGTGATCTCCCTTATTGTAATTCAAAAGTTTCTCTTGTCTCAGTGTTATTGTAATTATTATTGAACTTGATACTTATTCATAAATCCAAGCCCATGACTGAACCATTGAATCAAAGTCTGCATTTTAGTAAATTTTTGATTTATCATTCTACAATTAAAAATTGAGAATTGCCCTTGATCACCATAATTTCTTCTTCGGAGAATCATACAATTTAAAACATAAAAAGCAATTAAATGTATACTCTTTTGTTGATGCTTTAATTTTATATTATATTTCATCAAAGAAAATTATATAGACTCTTGGCTTTAATCTGCTCTCTTTCCACTGAGTTAGCTAATAGACTATGACAGTGTTTAAAAATGTGTTATTGAATAATTAAAATCACTTCCCTGCATGCAATCCATTTGTATTAAATCTCATTTCAACTTCAGTCAAATTAAAACCTGTGTGACTGATCATTTGCTCAATGTGCTATTTATTTGCCTGTTTCCATTTCAGATTCGGTTAACATTTAGTGATGTGGCCATTTATTTCTCTGAGGAGGAATGGAAGTGCCTTGAGCCTGCTCAGCATAATTTATACAGAGAGGTGATGTTAGAGAACTACAGAAACCTGGTCTTCCTGGGTAAGCCTATCTTCATACTTTCCAATTAATTATCAACATTTAATTTCCTTCCTTCACAGAATATATCTTGGGAGTTTCTGGTCTGCATGAATGGATTCAGTTTGTTGCTTTTAAAAAAAAAAATGATTGGGCATGTTTTGATACAAAAAATAAAATGTTAATTATATTTCCCTGAGCCTTTATTCTTTTTCCTTTCTTGGTGTGATATATATTCTCCATATTAGATAAGTGGTACTTTAGAGTAATTCAGTGATGTAAAATATTGTGGCCCTCACATAGTCAAAGACACAGTTGAGAATCCCAACATCAAGGAGGAAGTTAAATGTTTATTGAGAATTTATCCAGCAGAAAACATAAAATATTCAGAATTTTAGGTTTGTTTCTCTTGTTATCATGGAATGTCTCCCCTTGTTTATCATGCTTTCAAATTCTTTAAAGCCTCTCCCTTTTCCTTTGAGTACTTTCAAATTAACAACAAAAACACTCTCCTTTGCTTATTATTATAGTTTTCATGGTCTAACAGGTTTTTCCAGTATTTGTTGGTTTCTAAGAAATGTATGTACATTTCTAGAGATCTCTAAGTCAAAACTTTGAAATTTATTAATATTCATAAAGTAGTTTCTTTGATATTTTTTATGTTTATTGGTCAAAGCTCTTAGTGAATACTTCTAATGCTATTCCTGTAATATTTTCTGCCATATAATGAATGTGAACATTCACAGTGCTGCTGTTTTGGGGTCAATAGTCATAGGCATCATTATATAAAATGGTTTTTAAAATAATATATCCGTGGATATTTGCAATTGTATGGGATAAAATTTCTTTCTTTTTTTAAATTATTTATGTCATTTTATAGAGTAGGATTCATGTTGTAGAGTATGTTTCCTTACATCGATTAAATGGCAACTTCCTTGACTTTACAAGTTAGGATGATATAAGTTGAAATTAATATATGCATGATATTTGTTTCTGTTGTCAAAAATTACCTGTGCTTTTACTTGCTTGTATAAATATTACAACTGTTTATGACTTTTATATTTCATCTAGATTGGTTTTTTGTCCTGCCAATGTACATATCCATGGAAATTTTTTATATGTAAATGTAATAGATTGAATACAGGGATGGTTTAATAATGAACTATGTTTGCATTTATATTGGAAGAATGGTTCTCACAGTGTTGTTGAAAGTAGCCTTGAATTTGTAATCATCCTGCCTCAGAATTGCTAAAACCTAGATTACATGCAAGTATCATCTATACATTGATGAATTTCTACTTATTTATAGAATAAAGACCATAGCTCTTTAAATGTAGCTTTTAAAAAATTTGCAATTCTGTTTCTTTTATGTTTTCTTTGAAATTTTAATGTGATTGATCAAAACCATAAAATATCCAGGTTTGGTGGAACACACTTGTAATCCCAGTGGCTTGGAAGACTGAGGCAGAAGGATCACAAGTTCAAAGCCAGCCTCAGAGAGGTGCTAAGCAACTCAGTGAGACACTGTCTCTAAAGAAAATAAAAAATAAGGCTGGGGATGTAGCTCAGTGGTCATTTGCCCCTGAGTTCTCCTCTTTCCCCCCACCAAAAAAATAAATAAAATAAAATGCCATCTTCAGGATTTCAAGTGTACCTTCCAGTAATCTTATTTCAAATCATTATGTAATATATCTAAAAAAGTTTGCACCTGAAAAGGCAAAAAAAAAAAAAAATCTACTACCATGGAAACATGGGCTTATGTTTGTCTCCTCCAAAATAATTATCATCCTCAATTCTTTTATGATCATTTTTTTTAGTTTTGATATTTTATAGTCAGAATGCTGTACTATGTATCTCTTTGTTTGTGACTGATTTAACATAATGTACTTTAGATTTATCCTTATTATATATTGTGCAAAATTTCTTCCTTCTTGACATGGAAAAAATTTTCTAGTTTCAGTGTTCCAAATTGCCTTATCCAATCATTTCAAAGGATATTGGTTTGGAATGTACATGATGGACTTGTTGAATAATATTGTAACAAATATTGGTGTGCAAATATTTCTTATTTTGCAATATACGTGAGGGATTATTACCATATACACATACACTTTTTTTTTTTTTTGTAGAGGAAGTAAAGTTTTTTTTAGGAGCTCACAGTATCAGAGATCTCAGTCCATAGACATCCAGCTCCATTCCTTGGGGCTCATAGTGAGGTAGAATATCATTGTGGAGTGAAATAGCTCTTATGATGATGAAAGAACAAAAAGACTCCACTCTCCAGATAAAAAATATACACCTCAAATTCACACCCCCAGGGATCCATCTCCTTCAGACACACCCTACAGCCTTCAATTAATCACATCAGGGATTAATGCATTGATTGGGTTAAGACTCTTAAAACCCAATCATTTCTTTTCTAAACATTTTCTAAGCATCTTTTAAACATTCTATTATGAACTTCTGGTGGACACTGACTATCAAAACCATAGCAGTTCCCACAAGGATGTAGGCTTGTACATGAAGAATCATTTTGCTATATTTATAAGTGATTTCTTTCACAGAATATTTTGCATTCTTTTTCTGTCAAGGAAGAAATTATTTTGAGGTATTTTATTATTTTTTACATATAATCTTTTTTTAACTTGTTTTAGTTATACATGATAGTAGAATGCATTTATGCACTTTGATACATTTTACATAAATGAGTTATAATTTCTTATTTTTCTGATTGTACATGTTGTAGGAGCACATTGCTCATGCAGTCATATAGGGACATGACATAATAATGTCTGTTTCACTCTACTATCCTTACTATCCCTATATCCCCTCTCCTTCCCATCACTCCCCTCTACCTAATCTAAAGTAACTCTATTCTTCCCTAACACACCCTTTCCCCTTATTGTGAATTAGCATCTGCATATCAGAGAAAATGTTTGGACTTTGTCTTTGTTATATTGGCTTATTTCATTTAGCATAATATTCTCCAACTCCATCCATTTACTAGCAAATGCCATAATTTTATTCTTCTTTAAAGCTAAGTAATATTCCATCAAATATCACATTTTCTTTATCCATTCATCTATTAAAGGACACCTAAGTTGGTTCCATAGCTTAGTTAATGTAAATTGAGCTGCTGTAAACATTGACATGGCCACGTCACTGTAGAATGCTGATTTTAAAGTTTTTTTTTTTTTTTTTTTTTAGTGTGTGTGTGTATAGAAACCTAGAAGTGGGATAGCTGGGTCAAATACTGGTTCCACTCCAAGTTTTCTGAGGAATACCCATATTGCTTTTCATAACAGTTGCACCAATTTGCAATCCCACCAGCAATGTATGAATGTACATTTTCCCCCATATCCTCTTCAACATTTATTGTTATCTGTATTCTTGATGATTGTCATTCTGACTGGAGTGGGTTGAAATATTAGTTTTCATTTGCATTTCTCTAATTGCTAGAGATATTGAATTTTTTCATATTTGTTGATTGATTATACTTCTTGCGTGAAATGTTGGTTAAGTTTTTTAGTCCATTTATTAATTGGGCTGTTTTATCTATCTATCTATCTATCTATCTATCTATCTATCTATCTATCTATTTGTGTTCATTTTTTTTTTTGAAATCTTTATAAATCCTAGAGTTAATTACCTGAGGTGCATGTGTAAATATTTTCTTCCAATCTGAATGCTCTGTCTTCACATTATTGTTTCTTTGGCTGAGAAAGATTTTTGTTCAGTACAATACCATTTATTGATTTTTGATATTACTTCTTTATGCTTTAGGAGTCTTGTTAAAAAAAGTCAGATCCTAGGCCAACATGGTGAAGATTTGGGCCTTCATTTTCTTCTAGTAGGCAATGGGTCTCTTTCTTGTACTGCCTAAGTCTTTGATGCATGTTAAGTTGAGTTTTGTGCAGTGTGAGAGAGATATTTTTAATTTTATATCATTATATGTGGCTTTCCATTTTTCCCAGCACAATATGTTGGAAAGGCTATCTTTTCTCCAGTGAAACTTTTTGGCACCTTTGTCTAGTATGAGATGATTGTATTTGTGTGGCTTTATTCCTATATCTTCTATTCTGTGTCTTTGGTTTATGTGTCTGTTTTGGTGTCAAAACCATGCTGTTTTTGTTACTATCACTCTGTACTATATATTCTGGTATTTGATGCCTCCTGCTTCACTTTTCTTGCTAAGGATAGCTTTGGCTATTATGGGTCTCTTATTTTTTCAAATTAATTTCATTATTGCTTTTTCTATATCTAGGAAGAATGTCATTGGGATTTTAATTGGAGTTGCATTAAATCTGTGTAATGCTTTGGGTAATAAGGCTATTTTTGCAATATTAATTCTGTCTATCCAGGAGCATGGGAGATCTTTCCATCATCTATGTCCCACTTCACTTTCTTTCTTTAGTATTCTTTAGTCTTCATTGTAAATCTCTTTTACCTGGTTTGTTAGATTGACTCCCAAGTACTTTTTATTTTTAAGGCTATTGTGAACGGGTTAGTTTTTCTAATTTATCTTTCAGTGGATTCATCACTGATGTATACAAACACATTTGATTCACAGGTGTTAATTTGTTTTTTTGTTTGTTTTTTGTTTTTTTTTGTTTTTTGTTTTTTTGGAGGGGGATGGTTGTGTACCTTGGATTAAACTCAAGGGCACTCAACCACTGAGCCACATCCCCAGCCCTATTTTGTGTTTTCTTTAGAGACAGGGTCTCACTGAGTTGCTTAGCACCTCTCTTTTACTGAGGCTGACTTTGAACTTGTGATCCTCCTGGATCAGCCTCCTCAAGCCACTGGGATTACAGGCTTGCACCACCATGCCCTATGTACAGATATTAATTTTATATCCTGCTACTTTGATGAATTCACTTATTAGTTCTAGTAGTTTTATGGTGGAATTTATTGGATCTTCTAAATATAGAATTGTGTCATCAGTAAATAGTGATAGTTGGAGATCTTCTTTACCTGTATGTATCCTTTTAATTTCTGTCTTCTGTCTAATTGCTCTGGCTAGA